CCTGGGCCACCTTCTACTCCATCAGGATTCCCGGCCCCACTTCTGCGCAGGTGAAAGCCAAGTTGGAATCCCACCTCCACACTGAGAATTGCTACAGGACTGAATGCAAGAGACAGAAAAGCCAAGTGCCCCCCAACCTTGCCTCTTCCAAAGGCTCAGGTGTCCCCAGGCACCCCGGTCTCACGCCTCCTGGAACCTGGTCTCTGGCCTGCACCCGTGAGGTGCTTGCCCAGGACTTTCCTCTGCTCCCCTCCCCTCCCCCTCCTGATTTGGGCTCTGTATCTTCAACTCCATTCAGGCCTGCGATTGAGAATCAGGTTTTGGATTTGGTGATTAACTTCAGGTTCCAATTGCACACGGAGGGGTTAGACCCAGCTGCCAAATGTGGTCGGATTACATACACCCACAAATTACATTTCCTGCACAATGGCTTTGAAACAATCCTGTCTTGCTTTAATGACCAGGAGACAGTTAATCTGGCCGATCAGAAGGAGGATTTTACAATTTTAAAACATTGCTGTGGGTTTGTATTGAGGAAGATTTGTAAGTTGAGACAGGTTGCCAGCCAACTGGGGGAAAATTGAACCTCTACCTCCTGCCAAGATAAATGCCAACTAGATCACCTAAATAAAAGCAAAATAAATGAAACCATAAAATACTAGGAAAAAAACCCGATTTTTTCATGACCTCGGAGCTCATAAAAGAGATCATTAAATTTGACTACATAAAACGGTAACTTTCTGTTTGCCAAAAAAAAAAGCACTAATGAAACAAGATCAATGGTAAACTGGTAGGAACGCTTTCCAGCATGTGTGATAGACAAAGGGCTAATTTCCTAGACAAAGAATTTTCACAAATCGATAAGCAAAAACACCAATATCTTAAAAATTATAAAGAATGTGAGCAGACATTTCACAGAAAGTACAGATGACTCTATACTATATAAAAAGACGCTCAATCTCAATTGCAAAAAAAATACACATAAATCAGGTAGCAAATCCATAAATTAGACACTGAAATTAGATTTTTCTACAAATAAAGTTGGAAACTACAAACAATGTGATAATGCACTGGTCATAGAGGGTTTGGGGAAACTCGTTGTTACTAAGAGTCAGAATTCCTACAGCTGCCTGGAGGGCCATGGGCTGTAACAGCCAATGAAGTACAAGTGTCCATATCCTTTGCCAGCAATTTCGCTTCTAGAATGTATTTTCTCTGCATGCAGGGAGCTTCCAATCAGATTGCACTCAGAATGAATGTCCCGTCCAGAGGCACCATATACCTGAGCAAAGGCTCCAAAATTAAAGAAAGGTATGTATCCAACCAAAATAGTAACAACCAAAAGGCACTTGAAGGAAACACCAATGCAGGAAACAGGAGGCAAAGATAAGATATTGCATCCATAAAACCAGAATAAAATGAGAGAGAGAGAGAGCAAGAAAGAGCTCTCTTGGAAATTAAAATTGAAGAATTGTAAAAAAAAAAAAAAAGATTCTAGAAGAGATAAACAATAGTGAAAAAAGACAAGACAACCAGCTGATCAATTCCGAAAGTCCAGCACCTAATTATTAGACTTTGTAGTGACACTCCTGCCTGCCCAGTAAAGTAAGACACATGGTTTCTGTTGTACTTGACCTGCCAACAAACCTCAGAAATGTCAGAAAACTATGGGTTCCCACAAACTCCAGTAGAATAAGAAGAGAAGATGGAAAAAACCTTCACGGAAAAGATAAATCATGGTTGCGTGTGTAAATACTCATTTTCACTTTGCAAAACGTGTTTTTCCTTCTGAATATGTTTCTTAGATGTGGGTGAATAGAAATCCTGATTATGGACTGTGGGGTTGCTATAAATAGTTTATATTTTTATTACTTTCTAATTACATCATGTTGAAAAGTAAGCAAGCAATGGAAATGACAACAGACCGAATCACAGATAAAATCTCCCTTTCTTAGATGAAACTGGGGTTTGTTGTCATTTCGCCTTTTGCCCTTTCGATTTTGACTAATGTTTATGGACATTAATGAGAGCGTAGGAACCCAAATAGCCAAAACTATGGGGCCCCGCCATTGTAGATCCGACCTCTGGTGAAGGCGGAATGTCCTTCATTATTAACTTACTGTTGCAGCGCAGCAATGCATTAAACAAGATTAAAGAACACAGAGCTTGCGTGGTAATTTATTTTCTTGACTTGCAACCCACTGTGAAAATAATATCAAAGAAAACCATCTCGCCTTTGTTGTCTTTGTCCGAGTTTAAATGACAAAACTTCTGGGCAAGGCTCTCGGGCACCCGGGCACCGTGGCAAAAGAAGGCAATGACAGCCAAACCCTTCTCCTGTCGGTGCGCCTCAGGGGGAATGACTAGCAAACATGCTTTATTTGAAAATCGAGTTTTACCATTTAACAATCATTTGCAACGCCCCAGCTTTTGGCCTTGGCTCTTTGTTTCTCACCGCACATGTCAAGATCCCCACGGGTGGAGGAGGGCGCAGCTGGGAAATTTGGGAGCAAATGGAAAACCAGGGTGAACCGGTTGTGCCTTGTGATGAACAGCAGCGCTGCTCCTGGGTACTGCCTCTTGTTCCTCCTGATCTCACGGCTGCTTTCCTGGCCACTCGGCCGGTCGCCCTTGTTCCATTGACCACCCATAGCCAGTCCACCCCGCCCGATGGGCTGACATCAGCTCTTCCCACAGGAATTCTCCCACACTTGAGGCTCCCTTGATGGTCAAGGTCACTGACTCAAGCACCGAGGTGGGCCGTGCAGGGGCTTAGTACAGCGTCCACGCCCCTAATGATGAAGAGGCCCACGCCCAATTGCAGCCAGGGTGGCCATGCTGCAAAGCTGGCTTACTTTTGCTGGCCTTTCAATTCTTTAAAAGCAACTGGAAATCAAGACACTTTTGGTGAGCTCTTCCAATTTGTAGAATGTTTTTGAAACATTGTATGGTCCAGTGAACTGACCATCGGGCCAGATTTGGCCTTCAGGCTGACAATTTGCAGGCTGCTCTCGGTTTTCTAGGTACATCATCAGAATAAAAGGGGAGGGCGGCCATAGGGCCATCGTGAATATATGCTGGAAAGGTGCATATTATCCCACTCTTAGGGTTTTGCATCAGCACCGTACAGTCTTGCGGTGTTTAAAGCACACGCAAGTAAACAATTTGTCTGTTTGTTTGTTTGTTTGTTTGTCTCAGTGTTCTCCAAGTTTAGTTAGCCATCGAATTCATTCTCACAGGACACCTTTCTGTTATTGGCATTTTTCTTACAACTCAGACCTGAGTTATACAAAGCTGTAACGTACTCAGCTGCACAGAAGGGAATTGCGGATTGAATCACAAGCAGGTGGCCCTGAGCAGAAAACAAAATGTGTTCTTCCTCAGAAATCACTCTTTTAGGAAACACCGTGAGGGAACAACGCCTGCCCATTGGCAGCGCGTGCTTTACTTGTAGGAGACTGAAAATGACTGCAAGTCAAAGCAGGAACTGCTCTCTTGCTGCCTTGTAACTTACTTCGGCGCCAATGTCCCGGGCTTACTACGAACAGCGT